TTTCCATATATCCCAGGTCAAAGCAGATTTAATTTAGCTGTGGAAGTGGGCATAGATATGCTTTGAAACAGCATGTGGAAATTCTTTATTAAAAATCTCTCGAAGTTAACTAGATACATATTTAGTGTTCTCATATCTAACAGGTGTGGCTCTTATATAAGAAGCAATGAATATTGTATATTTAATTTTGCATGCAGTATGTCTTGCAAGCTAAGCTCTGTTCACTAATTCTAAGTGATTCTGTGCTTAGAAGCATATCCATTTCTGTTTTGGAAGGAAAGAGTAGATGAATAAAAATAAAAATATGCAGAGAAACCCACCATCAGTCTGGGTAAACAAGAGTAAGCTAAACAACCCAATGATCTGAACTGGTATAAAGAAAATTCCCATCTCATTCTATTTAGCATGTTGTATAGTTTTGATAGAATTTTCAAAGGGAATCATATAGTATCTTTGTGAGGCAGGGTTGGCAGTGTGGCTGAGAGGGTCTCCAGTTTCAGTACGAGAAAGACAACTTAGGAAGCATCCACAGTCTAGAATTAAGGCTGTTTGGCACCATTAGCTACCATGGCTGAATGCTGTAGAATCATGGGAACTGGAATGTTTCAAGGTCTTTAGACTCCTCTGCCAAATAATGCTTATGCCTCACCAAACCACAAATAATATGATTCCATAGCATGGAGCCATGGAAATTAAAGTGGGGTCAGACCACATTAATTCTAGAGTTTAGATGTGCCTTGACTGAAGGCAAATACACACGCTTGCCTTCTCACAACTCTTCAGGATCTCAGTCATGTGTCAAAAATGAACTCAAGATTGTTTTCTATTGACCCACTCAGTCTCCACATGAAATCTGGAACAACACAGCAATTCCTCTTTCCCGGTCATCTGCTTGGCAGTAATCAGTCAACAAGGTTCTAAGAATAATAATAATCGGGGGGGGGGGGGGGGGGGGGGGGGGGGAGGGGATGCAATGAGTCATATCCCAGCCCTAAACCCCAGCATTGCAAAATCTAGTCTTCTCTACATTTACATTGCAACACTAAAGCATACAGTAAAATACAGTAGGTTCTTGGTATATGATGATATTTCATTCCATAACCCTTTGTGGATACCAACATTTGTTGATGTGCAAATCCCATTATGTAAAATGTTGTAGTAAAACAGTGTCCCTTATACAGAATGGGGCTGCAGTGGTGCAGTGAATTAAACCGCTAAGCTGCAGAACTTGCTGACCAGAAGGCCAGCAGTTCGAATCCGCAGGACGGTGAGCTCCCATTGTTAGCCCCAGCTTCTGCCAAAGTAGCAGTTCAAAAACATGCAAATGTGAGTAGATCAATAATTACTGCTTCGGTGGGAAGGTAATGGAACTCCATGCAGTCATGCCGGCCACATGGCCTTGAAGGTGTCTACAGACAACGCCGTCTCTTTAGCTTAGAAATGGAGATGAGCACCACTCCCCAGAGTCAGATTCAACTACATTTATTGTCAAGGGGAAACCTTTACCTTTACTATACAGAATGACAAAATCAAGGTTAATTTTTTTGGAATGCCCTGGATGGTGGAATCCATGGATATGAAGGGCTGACTGTACTGTACCCATGAGTATATGCACAATACATTTGCTTTATAAAATGAAGCTTCATTTTGAGCGAAAGTTACAATGGGACACGAGGAGAATAATTGTTTGATCTACTCCTCTAAAGCCCCATTTTCACCAGCCATTTAATGCAGTTTGATAGTTAGCCAGCGTCAAACTTCTGCAGCCAGGCAACAAACTCCAACAAAAGAATGCAAAATAAAGAAAGCCCTTAATGCATGTCAGTGCTGTGTGTAATCACCATCTGGGCCTCAAACTGGTTCCAGGATTTCCTATGTAATAATTGGCACTGTGAAAATACTTTCTTCAATACTGGTTTAAGACTGCATTAAAATGGTCTATACAGATAGGGCCTAAAATATATAACCCATATAACCCAGTTTAAAGCAGAAAACCTGGGATCAGATCCTGAGATATTGGGACTGTCTGGAAGGGCCCTCCCTTTTCCAGCACAAGTAGAACAGAACTGTCAGCAATAAGAAAAATATACTCTGCACCAGCTCAGGAACACGGCCACTGATATTATATGGCAGCATAGATTCAAATAATCCAGTTCAAAGCAGATAATGTGGGTAATATAAGCCTTGATATTCTGGATTATATGGAAGTGTAGAACAGCCCTAATATAAAAAGAGGTATATAGTGTAGTGGTTTAGTGCTAGACCATGGGCTCTTCCACAGCCCTATATCCCAGAATATCAAGGCAGAAAATCCCATAATATCTGCTTTGAAAAAGGTTATCTGAGGCCCCTTCCACACAACTGAATAAAATTCCACATTTCCTGCTTTGAACTGGAATATATGGCAGGGTGGACTCAGATAACCCAGTTCAAAGCAGATATTGTGGAATTTTCTGCCTTGATATTCTGGGATATAGGGCTGTGTGGAACGGCCCTGGGTTATCCGAGTCCACACTGCCATATATTCCAGTTTAAAGCAGAAAATGTGGGATTTTTATTCAACTGTGTGGAAGGGGCCTATGATTTCAAAGACCTGGGTTCAAATGGAAACCTACAGGACAAGTCACACTCTCTCGGCCTCAGCAAAGGCAAACTCTGAACATATCTTAACAAGAAACCTTTGTGATAGGTTCACCTTAACATTGCCATATTACTCTGAAGACAAGGCTGCAAAATCTGACTCAGGTACATCTACACTACAGAATTAATGCAAAATGACATCACTTTGACATAGCTCAGTGTTATGCAATCCCGGGTCTTATAACTTTACAAGACCTGTAGCCTTCTTTGCCAAAGAGTGCCGGGTGCCTCACCAAACTACAACTCCCATGATCCCACAGCACTGGCCTAGGGCAGCTCAAGAGGTGTCCAAACCGGCTTGATTCTATAGTACAGATATACTCTTTTGGCCATGGAAACCCGCCTTATAGCTTTACAAGACATTTAGCCTTCTTTGCCAAAGGTGACGGGTGCCTCACCAAACTACAACTCCCATGATCCCACAGCACTGGCCTAGGGCAGCTTAAGAGGTGTCCAAACCGGCTTGATTCTACAGTATACATCTCCTCTTTTGGCCATGGAAACCCACCTTGCAGCTTTACAAGACCTTTAGCCTTCTTTGCCAAAGTGAGGGCCAGGTAAATGGCCCTCACTTAGGGTCAACCTACGTCTGTAACGACTTGAAAGCACACACCAACAACAACAATCCTATCTCATCAGCCAAAAGCAGGCCCATACTTCCCATTGAAATACTAATAAGTTTATATTTGTTAAAATTGTTCTTCATTTTAATTGTATTGTTTTTAGCACTACAAATAAAATATGTGCAGTGTGCATAGGAATTCATGGGGTTTTTTTTTTTAAAAAAAAATTATAATCCGGCCCTCCAACAGTTTGAGGGACTGTGACCTGGCCCTCTGTTTTAAAAGTTTGAGGACACTGGTATAGATATACTCTTTTGGACATGGAAACCCACCTTATAGCTTTACAAGACCTTTAGCCTTCTTTGCCAAAGAGTGCCAGGTGCCTCACCAAACTACAACTCCCATGATCCCACAGCACTGGCCTAGAGCAGCTCAAGAGGTGTCCAAACCAGCTTGATTCTATAGTACAGACTAGCCGTCCCCTGCTATGTGTTGCTGTGGCCCAGTCTGTGTATATGTCTTGTGTGTGTGTGTATATATTTGTGTGTATGTGTATATAAGTGGTTTTGTGTATGCGTTGTAATGTATTTTTATTTTTTGCCTTTTTAAGTCTTTTCTATTGGGTTTTTCAGTGTTTTTATGAGTGATGGTCACTCGTTGACCTGAGAGGTGTCTTGTGTCCAAATTTGGTGTCAATTCGTCCAGTGGTTTTTGAGTTTTGCTAATCTCACAAACCAACATGACATTTTTATTTATATAGATATACTCTTTTGGCCATGGAGACCCACCTTATAGCTTTACATGACCATTAGCCTTCTTTGCCAAAGAGTGCCGCGTGCCTCATCAAACTACAACTCCCATGATCCCACAGCACTGGCATAGGGCAGCTCAAGAGGTGTCCAAACCGGCTTGATTCTATAGTATAGATCAGGGGTCCTCAAACTAAGGCCCGGGGGCCAGATGCAGCCCTCCAAGCTCATTTACCTGGCCCTCGCTCAGGGTCAACCTGAAATTATTATCTCATCAGCCAAAAGCAGGCCCACACTTCCCATTGAAATACCAATAAGTTTATATTAGTCAAATTGTTATTCATTTGAATTATTGCATTGTTTTTAAGTGTTTTTTGCATTACAAATAAGATATGTGCAGTGTGCATAGGAATTCATTCATGTTTTTTCAAATTATAATCCGGCCCTCCAACAGTTTGAGGGACTGTGGCCTGGCCATCTGCTTAAAAAGTTTGTGGACCCCTGGTATAGATATACTCTTTTGGCCATGGACAAGTCATTCTCTCAGGGACCTGTCACACAGCTATATAACTCAGAATGTCAAGGCAGATGATCCACAATAGCTGCTTTCAGCTTGATTATGAGTCCACACTGCCATATAATCCAGTTCAATGTGGATTTTATACAGCTGTGTGGAAGGGGCCTCAGGCTGGGCCTACACGGTCACCCAGCCTGTGCCTCAAGAAAGCGAAGGCAAAACTCTCCTCTGAAGAAATCCTGACCAGAAAAAAACCCGTGACAGGTTCACCTCAGGTCAGAAACGCTAAAAAAAAAAAAAAGCATTTCCGGCATTTAAAAGAAGCCACACAGACTCAAAACATGGAGCATTGGCTTCGTTTAAGGAAGAATCCTCTCAGGAGAACATGAACTTTCTTCACTTTCCTCCCTTGTGCACAAACCCTCTCACTGAGGAGAAGGGAGTGGCAGCGAAGGCGGAGGAGCCTCCTTTCGCGGAAGCCGGGCTGTTCCCACGGCTTTCTCCCCGTCCCCCGCCATCCGCGGGACTCACCGGGTCCTTGGCCGAAACGGCGCCCACAACAGCGACCACTAACACAGTGGCCGCGGCGACAAGGCCCTGCGCGCGCATCCTTCCCCTTCTTCGTCCTCGCGCTCTCGCTCTCAGACTGCAAAATCCCCCGCCGAGGCCCGCAGAGAAGTAGGCGAAGAGAAGCACGAGACTCTCTGTCACGTGACCCGCCCCAAGCCCTTCCCTTCCCCAGCCGAGACTGGGAGGTACCATTCCCCGATTTGGGGTAGTGGCAAGGCCTGAGTCTGCTATGTGGTTTCTTCCACTCCTCTTCAACTTGAATTGGCAAAGAGAAGAGTGTGTTGTCGTTGTTGTTGCCACTTCTCTGCTATAGTATATAGACTCAACTTCGTTTTTTTTTTACAACTGCGGCTCCTGACCCACATGGCGTCCCCTTGGCTCAATGCTCTGGTCCGGAAAAATAATAAGCAGCAGCAAAAGTTTTCGGAATCACCACCTCTAGTGGCTGTTTTAGACATTGCACAACATGCAATGTTGTTAACAGTGCAGAAAATGTGTTGTCGAAGGCTTTCATGGCTGGAATTACTGGGTTGCTGTGGGTTTTTCGGGCTGTATGGCTATAATCCAGTGGCATTCTCTCCTGACGTTTCGCCTGCATCTACGGCAGGCTATTTTAGACATGACACAACATGCAATGTTGTTAACAGTGCAGAAAATGTGCTATCTAAAGCTTTCATGGTCGGAATCACTGGGTTTCTGTGGGTTTTCGGGCTGTATGGCTATACTCCAGTGGCATTCTCTCCTGCGTCTATGGCAGGGTGTTTTATACATAGCACAACATGCAGTTTTGTTAACACTGCAGAAAATGTGTTGACGAAGGCTTTCATGGCTGGAATTACTGGGTTGCTGTGGGTTTTTCAGGCTGTATGGCCATATTCCAGTGGCATTATCTCCTGACGTTTCGCCTGCATCTATGGAAGGCTGTTTTAGACATTGCACAACATGCAGTGTTGTTAACACTGCAGAAAATGTGTTGTCGAAAGCTTTCATGGCTGGAATTACTGGGCTGCTGTGGGTTTTTCGGGCTGTATGGCCCATGTTACGGTGGCGTTATCTCCTGACGTTTCGCCTGCAATCTATGGCGGGCTGTTTCAAACATGGCATAACATGCAGTGTTAATAGTTCAGAAAATGTGTTCTCAAAAGCTTTCATGACCGCAATCACTGGGTTGCTGTGAGTTTTTCGGGCTGTACTAAGGCAGAAAGAAATAAGCTTTAGTTTTACAAAATGCCGGAGTCTTCATGTAGAAAGGAGAACGGATATGGACTTGACCATATATGGGAGACAAAGACGGGTTTTGGTGCCAAAGATAAGTTTTTTGTGCAAGGGTGAAGTGTCGGTCAGGAGACAGTGCTGACTTTGCAGAGAGGTCAGCCAAAGGCTGAGTTGAGTTGCCAGGTCAGCAGCATCAGCATCTTGTGATGTTTCCAGAAAGGGCTTGCTTATTGGGAAACGAAACTTAAAGTGTATGATCTAATTGCTTAACGTAAATATAATATTGACAGCTTTCTTAACCAATGATTTAATCTTTGGGGCGGCTCTTAAAGCTGAACCCCTTTGCATGTATAAAAGAAACCCCTAACCCTTTGTGCGGGGTGGCTTCCCCCAGAGCGCCTTGTTGTGTCGGAAGTCACCTTAGCAGCTGCTAATAAAATACTCTGATTTCTTTTGAACCCTGTTGGCTGTTTTCTCTGACTCATCTGCGTCCGCAAACAGACTTGGTTTGAACATTTTGGCTAAGCCCTTGAGCAATTGCACAAGGGGAGAAAAGCCTGCTTCAGTACGGCCAGAAGTATTCTCTCCTGACATTTCGCCTGCATATATAAACCCCATTCACCTAGTTTCCAACAGACCTCACAACCTCTGAGGATGCCTGCCATTAGATGCAGGTGAAATGTCAGGAGAGAATGCTTCTGGAACATAGCCATACAGTCTGAAAAACTCACAGCAACCAAAGGCAGAAAATGCTTCGTCTCTACTTCATGGAAAGGAGAAAAGCTTGTTTAGCAAGCCTTGCTAAACAGTGTAATAAAAATTGAAAAAATGTTTTTATTCTGAAAGTATTTTCTGTTTAAATATGCAGTATTTACTTATTGAAAGTAGTTGTTATACTCCAGAAATTTCATTTTTGTACCCGCCACAAACTGTGTTGAATTGGATGAGATAGTCATTGAAAAACTATTCCAAAATGTGTTGCAGGATGTCCTACAAAAACAAAGTTTGTGCAGTTTAATAAACTAGGAATCTCGAGGTCCCCAAGTCTGACTCTTATATTGGCTTCCAGTGGATGTTGACCGTAGAGTCATGCTGGAAGTCCTAGAAATTCCTAGAGAAGCATTCCCTCAAGTTTTTTAAAAAAGCAATATCTTTATTCACAGATTTTTCACTTTCACAGTAACCCTACGCCCCTAACCCCAGCAGATGTGGAGGGCTAGCTGTACTCTATGATTTTATTATAGATATGCGACATTGTCTTTCTCATAATGTTTTTTCAGTAGGATCCGGTCACATATTGGAATGACAGGAGTATAGTAATTATAGAAGGAAAGAAAGCAGTATACAAGCAATTGCAAACCAACCAATGAAAACTGTCCCAACCTGTTTCCCCAAGAGGTAGCATAGCTTTATATTTTGCATCTTGATGCTAATTTTGGAAATTCCTGGTAGAAGCTGATGAGTGGGTGGAAACTGTCTACTCTATTTGTGGCCAGTGTGAAGTTCATTTCATTTTGACAGTTATTAATATGTAGACTGATCAAAAAGAGGAGTGAGGAAAAAGGGGGATGAATGATAAGCAAGTAGCTGCAGGGATAGTTTGGGTGAATGTTGTAAGAAGCTGGCACCCCATTCACACTTGCAGCTATGGGTATGACTGTGTTTTGGAAATCAGAGCTACAAAGGATTCTGGTATACTGCCTACATTTCGTTACTGATTATGAAGATATTTGGATCGAAGGGCAACATAATGTTCGGTGATTAACATGTAACCACTATTACAAGACCTCATTTTAGATGCTTGACCACAACTCCCACAGATGGACTGATCCTATTACTGCTCGTGTTGTAGATAAGCCACCAGAGGCTGATGGTTTAAGTGCTGGTTTAGAGAGGATTGTGAGCTTTCCTGTGGCACCAAATGATGGGCTCCCTAGTCTGGGAAATTCAAGTCTGGGAAACAATGGCTTTCTCTGTGAGAACACTGTCTTGGAAAGTGCAGGGCCTCAAGGGCAGTCAGGGGAGTCAGAAGTAGCAACAGCAGATAAGGAATCGAGTGAGGAGCTGAGTGATAAGGAGGGTTCTCAAGGGAATCCACTTGTTGCTCCGGAGATCAACAAAAGTCTTCGGTTACAAATTAGAGCCGAAACTTGATTAGGTCGTTTAGAGAGATTATGTGGGAAAGTTGTGAATGAAATTTACGGGAAACAGAATTATTTCATGGGTGTCTATTAAACAACAAGTTTACCTTAAGGTCAGTTCAGGCAACGCTGCGTTAGAGTGAGAAGCTAAGCTTTAGTTCTCTTCGTCTTGGTTCAAGTCAAGCATTGATTTTGGATTTAATGTCCCGGAAGTTTTCTATGTTCCTGTGCTCCTGTTCAAGTTTTATCAGTTATACCTTCTTGATTGTGGACTTATGCTGTATCTGTGATTTCTGACTGTTCCTAGACTTTGGCACCTCTGGAACTTTATGAGACATTTGAATTATTGCTTGATTATCACTTGTTGCTAAACCTTTTTTGGATTATATATCTTCTTTTCTTATTCCTAATTTTATATGTTTTTTATATGTTTTTACTATAAACTGTTTACTTATATTCCTGGACTCTTGTGTGGTGCAGTGGTCATAGGTGTTTCCAGGCGTGGAGTGCAACAGCTAGTGGGTCTAGGTGATACACTTCCCATCCTGCTTTTCTTGGGAGATTCAGGTCTTTCAGTACTCTCCAGAAGAGTGTAAGTTGTTGGCTTCTCTGTTAGTCTCTGTCCTCCAGTTTTTCTTTACCCACCCCTAGATTGTGGAATTACCTGCCAGAAGAACTCCAACTGTTGAGAATGAATTTAAAAGAGCAATCTCTTTTTCCAGGTCTATCCAGATGAGTTTTAAATTATGAATTTTAAATAATGTAAAGGATGTTTCAGGATGTTATATATCTAATGTTTTATCTGGTTTGTGTTTTTTCATCATCCTATATCTGTGCATTCTATTTTTTTCTGCCTAAATGTAGTACCATACATTTCTTACTCATTTTGTTAGTTTTCGCCATCTCTCCAATCTATCGAGGCCGTTTTGAATTCTGAACCTTCTCCCCGGAGTATTAGTCACTCCTCCTAATTTGGTATCATCTGCTAATTTGATAAGCACACCCTCTATTCCATCATCCAACTCACGTTCGATACAATAATCCTTTTGTTGCATTTATTTTCTTAGCAGTTCCATCGCACTGTTGAATCACTGGCTTGAAGAACCACAATTACCGATAAGCAATCTGTTCTTCTGTTCTGGCATTAGACACTGGGTGTGGCTGCTGATTATATGAGTATTGATTGCAATCTATTACCATAGCTTTAAACCTTTAAAGTCCCGAAAAGCTTATCTGTCAAATGGACCACCAATTTTATTTTTAAAAAACTGTCTTTCTCAAGCAGGGCTCTTCTGAGGATACCATCACCTTAAGAGGCCTTTTGGATGGCAATGAAGAAGATATTCCCCTGTTTTCCCCACTCTGGTTGCTTTCAGGAAGAGTGAGAAGACACCTCTTTTCAAGCTGGTCTTTAAAAACTGTTTTGAGGGTTTGTTGATTATTATTGAGATTTTAGTGGCTTTGATTGTGATTTTAATGAAATTATTATCTAACTTGTTTTTAACTTCTTTAAAACAAAGCTCTAACTTGCCTTCAGCATTATTTTTCCATACAAACCTGGGGTAAAAATGAAAATGTATAGAATAAAATAATTGCCATAGGTTTTATTTATTCATTATCCTTTCTCTCAAGCTACCATATTTTTCTCTTACCCATTTTAGTTTATATTCTTCCTCTGGCTGATGCATTTTGCAATAGAGATGTTAATGTCAAATGCTTTGGGGCATTATTACACCTTTTTTGCAATTCATATTTGGTGGATCTGTTACAAATAACCAAAGAACTAG